CAAGTGTCTCTTCATCTCTTGATTGTCTTTGATGAATATAAAAAAGGATTTTTTTTAATATCAGACATCAAAATATCGAATTTACTATGTTTTCCCTCACTGTAATCCCCCCGACCGTCATCCACCCCTCCAACCATCTCTTCTTCCTTCTCCACTACCTATTCTGCTTCCTCTTCCTCCTCTAACTCCTTAACAATAACCTTTAAAATTAAATTTGTATTAAGAAAATGATTATATTCTTAATATTATTTAATTACATTTATTACCATTTCTAGCTTCCTCGGTCTATCCAACTTCAACTTCGCCATCACTCTAACTACCTCTTACTTCCCTCATGCACGGATGTGTGCCACTCCGTTTCTTTCATAAGCCGACAAACTATCACAGCCCGACCAAAAATTGAACAGTGCAACCTGCATTTATAATAAAAGTTATCATTTTATATAATAACTATACTATCATTTTATATAAAAAAACAAAAACATTCTTCAACTCAGTTACCTCTAAGATTGTTATACACCCTTTGAGGTATCTCTGGCTGCCCTTTTGAAAGGTGATTATTGATTCAATCAATCTCAAATAGACATATTTAGCCCAATTGAATTCACCCTTCAAGCCTTCATCGCAAATGAGCTTCATATCGTCCTTGTTCGTTGATGTATCACCCGTTGGACAAAGAAATATCCCGACAATGTACAATAGAACTCGGGCCTTCAGGTCATCCCCCCCATAAGATCCACTTTTGATATCCTCTTCAACTTCAGCATATGCCACCTTCTGATTCAAACCATATTTGGAGGCAAGTGCTTTCCAATTCTTACTCCTACAGACTTCTACAACACTTTTGCCATTGTTTTGTACCCCCAAGACGGCTGCAGCAGTCGATACCCCCAGAAGGAATGAATAATCACCATATTTAGCAATACATTGTTTGACATCAAATTGCTCCATCAAGGATCGACACAATTCCCTCCGAATTGGTCGATCCCCTACTCCTATCAATGATCCAAACCCCATTTCCCTCAGCATATTCAACTGATCCTTCTCTTTAAGGTGTTCAATTAATGAATTCACCATTTTTATGTTGCACCTTGTCGACACTTCCTACATTTTTTTAACAATATATAATATTATTGTTCTTATATATCTTGTATCAACGTATTTACAAGTTTAATGAATACCTTCTTTTCATGTGCTTTCATACGTTCTTTGTATTCTTTACTATCATTCCTTGACTGTGTGATGTAAGGTTCCTTTTCGGCATCACTCATCGAATTCTATTTTGACCTCACATCTTTTGTCACCTAATATTAAGCGTAAATATTTCTTAATCAATACATTAACGCTAAATAATACTCAATGTCAATTTCATTTTACATACCGAACCGCTGTGTGTGCCATCTTCCTTCATCCTTTTGCATTCGGCCATACTGTCAACATTTAAAATTTGTAATCAATTTAAAGTTTTAATCCAATTACCATTTCAACAATAATAACAAAAAGACTGATACTTACTAGAAGTACATATATCCACCCTTTGGTTGCTTTCCTCCTATTGACTTCATTTTTCCTTCATATATCAGTTTGCGCAAATCAAATCAAATCAAATACTACTTACATACACTTTATTCAATATACAAAAATAAATAACCACTCTTTGTGGTAAAACGGTTGGTCTTCAAAAGAATTTGAATGGCCACTACAACAAGTGTCGGTACATTTATACAACCTAAAATATCATTTTCTACCTATAATATCATTTTTACCTATAAATATTAACTAAAAGTATCGATTCGGTCCCAAATGCTTATTTACTTCGAAAACCCCCCAAACAACAACACATAAAAACCCTATTTTCCATTACTGTAATAATAAAAAACTAGGGTTTCAACAACGTACCTTTCAATTCGACTGCAGCAACAAACAAACAAAACTTCACGTAGAAACGCCTTCTGAAATGCAACAACAATTACGTTTCGATTTCAAAAACTATATCTACTTTCAGAGGATAGCTATGCCTTTATATTTACACCGGATATATTATTTATATTTAATCGATACAACTACATAAGTGTCGATACTTTTATGTCAAATGTCGATACTTTCGGTAGGATATTTACCTATTTCTTTGAAAGTATCGATAATTTATTACGCGTACTTATTAAAGTATCGACACTTTCAACATATCCGGTATCTATTTACTGGTTTTGTCATTTTGAGACCGGTTTTATAATATTTTTACCTGTTATATTGTTCTGGATCGATACATTTTCATAAAGTGTCGACACTTTTTAAGCGCTATAACTTCTTCTCTTTTAAATTCAGAAAGTGTCGATACTTATATTAAATTATCGACACTTTCAACATATCTGATAATTTTTTCCAGTTTTTTCATTTTTGAGACATGTTTTATCATATTTTTACCTGTTATATTGGTAATGATCGATATATTTTTATAAAGTGTCGACACTTTTTAAGCGCTATAACTTATTCTCTTTTAAATTCGGAAAGTGTCGATACTAATATTAAATTATCGACACTTTCAATATATCCGGTAACTTTTTCTGGTTTTTTCATTTTTTAGACCAGTTTTATCATATTTTTACATATTATATTGTTATGGATCGATACATTTTCATAAAGTGTCGACACTTTTAGTTTAATTTCAAAAAGTGTCGATACTTATATTAAATTATCGACACTTTCAACATATCTGGTATCGTTTTACTGGTTTTGTCAATTTTGGGACCTGTTTTATCATATTTTTACATGTTTTATTGTTGTTGATCAATATATTTTTTTAAAGTATCGACACTTTATAGGCTCTATAACTTCTTCTCTTTTAAATTCAGAAAGTTTCGATACTTATATTAAATTATCGACACTTTCAATATATCCGGTAGCGTTTTACTGGTTTTGTCAATTTTGAGACCTGTTTTATCATATTTTTACCTGTTATTTTGTTATGGATCGATACATTTTCATAAAGTGTCGACACTTTTTATGCGCAATAACTTTTTCTCTTTTAAATTCAGAAAGTGTCGATACTTATATTAAATTATCTACACTTTTAACATATCCGGTAACTTTTTCCGGTTTTGTTATTTTTTTAGACCTGTTTTATCATATTTTTACCTGTTATATTGGTAAGGATCGATACATTTTCATAAAGTGTCGACACTTTTTAGGCGCTATAACTTCTTCTCTTTTAAATTCAGAATGTGTCGATACTAATATTAAATTATCGATACTTTCAATATATCTGGTAACTTTTTCCGGTTTTGTCATTTTTGAGACTAGTTTTATCATATTTTTACTTATTATATTGTTGTGGATCGATATATTTTTTTAAAGTATCGACACTTTATAGGCGCTATAACTTATTATCTTTTAAATTCAGAAAGTTTCGATACTTATATTAAATTATCAACACTCGACACATAGCCGATAGTGTTTTATCGGTTTTGTCATTTTGGGACCGGTTTTGTCATATTTGTACCTGTAATATTGCTATGGAGCGATCTATTTTTCATTTGTATCGACACAAACCGACAAGCTAAGTTTACCGGTTGCCAAATTTTTTAATATTTCTTTATGATTTAGACATACTACATTATTATTACTCAACATTTCCGTTGGTGCTAAACCGAATATTGTAAATATATTATAATGTATCCGGTAACGCCGTATATTAACCCGCCTTTTCGGAGACAATCCCGAATCTTAGATCGAAAACAGCCACCGTCTTATTAAGTGCATAGATATTAAAAAATAATAAAATAAAATGATAGTGGGTTCAAAGGCTTGTTAAATCTTCTCCTCGTTATTTTAAGGGTAAAATATATAAATGATCCTCAACTATATGAATATGATGTTATTTTATTAAGTCTCTTGATTATTAATAGTTATAAAATAATTCTATTATTTATAAGACTTATTTTGTTAAGTCTCCGACTATTAAAAGATATAAATTGGCCATTTGAGCGTTCATATATTCCAAAATTATCATTTTCCGTTAAAAAATTGATATTCTTCTGAATTGGACGTTAAACTACTTACTAAAATATGATAATTCAGATCCCAAAATCAAATACAATTTTTAATTCATCGTATTATCATTTCTTTCTTTCTTTTTTTCTCTTTCTCCAAAAGAATAAACACATACACTTAAACAAGGAACATTTTTGTTGTTGCTATAAATTCATCTGATGATTTTTTTTATAAATTTGGGACGAATAAAAGATAGTATTTGTTCAAATACTCTCAACCATCTGACAATGAACGCTCATATTCTGCATAAGTGGTGCTCAAATATGAGATCTCAAGGAGTAACAACAAATCTCTTAACCACTAAAGTTGTTTGGTTCGTACATAAATATTAAAGTTTAAATATAATATAATTTTAAATAAGATTATGGGTAAATTATGTGTTTAATCATCCACCTATTTTCACAATTCCCTTTTGGTCACCAAACTATTTATTTTTCAAAATCATACCTAACGGCACGGCATGTGACCAAAATTAAACCAAATTATAATATTATGTATGATTTTGAAAAAGAAAATAGTTGTGTGACCAAAACAAATCTTTGAGAATAAGTGGGTGACAAAATAATGTAGTTTAACTTAAAATTATTTTAACATGTTTTTTCATGATTTTTCTGGTCATTTTCATAATACATTCACAAGTACCAGGCTTAAGTTGAGTTAATGTTTTTTAAAACATTATTTCAAATGCTAACAAAAATCCGAAAAATGCTTTATTTAAATCTATATTTCAAGTCAAATTGAATAATTTTTTTTATAAATAATGTAAATTTAATTCACGATTTAACCAAATTGCTAGCAAATTTATTTCACGATTTAATTCACAAGTATCACGATTTAATTCACAATTTAATTCCTATGTTTCCACTAAGATTGCTAGCAAATAGCAGTTTCATTGCACTGCATATACGAACAAATTGAGCATATTGGCAATAAATTTCATAGAATGCATCTCTGTTGAAATCAACTTTCATAGGATGAACAGTGCTATGTTTCAACTGTGACATCCTCCGTTCAAAGAGCCGGCGAGTCGGTTTGTATAAGAAGGTGTCGGTAATAGTGGAAGAAGCTTGTGATCTTTGATGTTGGACAGATTTATGTTATAATTGCCACCACGAGTCTCACATATATTCATTAATATTTATCTAATCCAATGAGAAATGACAAGTCTCAACTCATATATTGTTGCCATAAATGAAGGGATCAGTTCAGATGCTCTCGAATGGTTTGTCGTTAAATATCCGATTAAACCTCTCCCACCAATGGAAGACCAAACGGAACGCAGATGCTTCCGATGTAGCACTGACTTCTATGAGCCTTCCAAGATGCTTACGCTGAAGCAGCGACTTTAACTCTTCCAACCCATTGCACGAAGGTCGCTCTGCTTTAGCTCGATATGCTTCCCTAACCTGCATGTAAGAACACATTCACCGTAATCCATCACGCATATATGTAACTGAACTATAATTTAATTTGCAGAACAATCTATATGCAAAACCTACGGGCGGCATTTAGCAGGCGAAACACAAATCAATCTTACAAAACACACGGTACATCAAAGTCGGCTAATTGGGAAGATAAATAAAGTGTCCCATGGTTAACTTTTACTCATCTACAAAAGCTTGTCTCAGGAACAGTTTTTAGTTACCATTAAACAATCTGATTGAAAAACATGTTTTACCTTACCACATGATGAGACAGATAAAAGAAAAACAGTTGCTTTTTTCCCCTCAAATTAAGAAAAATTCAAAAACTGGAAAAATTAAGTGCAAGAGTCCAGTACAATTGCAAGTTCTACTATAAGGATGTAAAATCAGCAGGAAAATTGGCTAAAAAATTAGCACTTTTGGTACAAATAAGGCCTCAACCTATAAGGATAAGGGAAGATGTTTCAAATGCTAAGATTTGAACTCTTAGACCCTCTAAGTAACTCCTTTTAAATATATATATAGGGATAGGATCTAATTACACAGTTTAAAACTTTTTAGTTTTACAAAGATTTAGGACCTAATGAGTGGAAATAGACTATTGAAATTAACAGTAGTAAATGAGAAGATAGTCACTGGAAAAAAAACAAGGAATTAATCATGCTTCTATTTCCACTCATCCAACGGTCTTAAATCTGTGAAAACTAAAAAAGTTAAATACTATGATAAACTAGCTAAGCTCCGGGTTCGTATAATGGATGGTTATCACTTATCAGTTCGATAGATAGCTTGCTTTGCTGCTATCAAATTATTTCCATGTGATCAAGCCAACCCTTGGAAGAGTGATTAGGCAATGAAGGAAAGAAGGGGAAATAAGCAAAAATAAAGGCACCCTGAGAAGCTAATGTAAAAAAGTGGAATTCTCAGAAATTGTACCCGAGATCTGCTGGAAGCCTGAAACCACCGATGCGTACACGCTTCAACGAATGAATCTGAAAAAAGAAAACATAAATATCCTTAGAAATCACTATGATAAGACAAATCAATAAGTTAAAGATAAATATGAAGATCCAAGTGAAGTAGCCCGTGAAACTTGATGAATGGAAGATCAAATGGTTTCATAAGCCTATCATCCCAGAGCAACAATAATTTTCATATTACCAGCTATTTCATTTGTGAAACAATCTTACGTTCTAAATGGTTCATTCCTATGTAAATTCAATCAATCTAGAACAAATAATAAGCCATTTTTACTACATGAGTGAATGTCTGGAAAAAGACACTGACCTCAAGCCCGGCATTTTTCACGAGTTCACGGACTTCATGATTCCTCCCTTCATGAACCTGCAATTCCGTTTTAGCAGAAGGGGGATATTAGCATTATAAGTCAACCATCAAATCTTAGCATAATAAAATCTCTAGCCACAAAGAATCCAAGAGGAAAGGCTCAAAATTATTCATATTATCAAAGGTAAAACTTCATGTTGAGATAATAAGTACCACTACACGAATGCGAGGTCTAGACAAATCTGGCTGCTTTGAAAGTAATTCCACAGAATCCGGGATGCAAAGAATGCCTTCAATTTCTGTCCCTTCACTGATGGCAATTAAGTGTCGCTTCCTTACTTCACCATCAATTGTTGCAATGTATCTGTAATTACATTGTGGCAAGGGATAGAACGTAAGTCTACAAATAAACATATATAAGAATGGCAATACCATCCCTGAAATAATCAAGTTTTAGTCAAGATGAAAAATTAATGGGACAATTTGATTAAAAAAAGAAAAAGGGCAAATGGAATATATGAATGCAAAACTTCAGACCAAGGAACCAATCTTTCACCACAGTTATGTTCAACAGTCCATGCAACAAACAGATAATAAAATACGATGAATCTTACTCTTTCGTTAAGTTTGATGAAGGATGTGAAAGCTTTTGAGCAAAATCTCCTAAAACAGACAACAAATTCCAAAGGTGAAATGGGAATATATATGTAGGCAAGACTCGGTATTTAAGCTTAAGGATGGGAATATATGCAGCAAAATGCATACCATCATTGGTCACAATAATTAAGCCAGTTGTAGCAACATCAAGTCGGCCAACTGTGAATAATCGTGGCTTCGGAGATCCTGGATTTATTTTGTCCTGGAAAAGCAGACTTCCTTCTCACAAGTTTGCAGACTATACAAATAAATAGAACTCAAAGAGGGTGAAATTGACAAGAGTGAATCTTCTAAGCATCAATAGTTGTAGCTGTAAATAAAATTAACGACTAGAAACCATACTTTTAAACTCACAACATCAACATACCCACATCTTTAAATAATCCTCAAACAGATCCAGGACAGATTTGAACTCCTTTTCTCCGGATGAGCAAATATAACTGCAATGACATGATTGCATTAGACAGAGATTCAACTGAAGCACATAACCTGAAAAGCCAATAAATGCAAATCATGGTTCAGTACTGGATACGAACCCTTTGGGCTTGTTTAGGGCAAGATACACCTTTGGTGGCAGTTTTTTAGGAAGGCGGTTCCCGTTGACATAAATAATGTCCTTTGAGGGATCAACTCGAGTCTGCAAATTATCACATAAAAAGTATATAACTCCAGGGCCATATAAAAGTTACATAAATATAAGACCTATAGAAATTCCAACAGCGATAGCTGAACATCACAAAGAAAATAACCCAGGGGTGCCCATAATAAAACCTCTATAAAAGAATAATGAACAAGTTAGGCTTCCCACTACATTTGTACAAATTCTATTACTCCATTTGCTTCATTTATGCCGCAATAGCTCAAGAGATTCACATTGATGATAAAAGAATAGATTGGGAAAGCATCCACTTTATCAACAAATCGACTGAGAGCCATATGAACTTACCTGAGGAGCATTGCACACTGAACCATTAACAGTCACCTTGCCATTAAAAATAAGCTCTTCACTTCCACGTCTTGATGCCACTAGTAACAACCATTAAAATCCAATATTTATTATACATGCGTATATGAGTGTGTGTGTGTGTGTCAGTGTGTGTATATATATATGTTTGTGCATATATATCAACATACAATTCACAATAAGCATCTGCAAAGAACTATAAACACATCCACTGATGGTGCAGTTAAAAACTAACAAGACTAGAAATAAAACATTAAGCCCTTCATCTGGTTGATGCTTTTGCTAGTTTCTTTTTGCTACAGCATTCAGAATCACTTTTAAAATTTATAAAATTTTACCATTAATGTATAGATATCAACTCAAATTGTAATAAAATTAGTACATATTACCCAAAAAACCAATAATAAATTTTGAAAATAATACTAAATTAACACATTTAATCTAATGGGCAGGTAACAAGCATTCATTCCAAATTCACTTCTTTTTTCAATTTCTTAAACTCCACACATGGTTTAGAATATCAGTTCTGCAAGTTAATATATATGTACCAAGCAAATTCGCTATCGGTATTCAACAAATACCCAATATTGTAATTGAGATTAAAAGAACAAACAAAGGTAATTTACCTCCAGCGGCAGCCAGGACTTTACTTAACCTTTGAGGAGGGTCCCTAAAATTTTCATTATAAAACCTTCTAGCAGCCTTGGAAAGCTTAGGAGATGGCGCCGGCGGCTCGATACTCGCACTCCCAGCAGCTGAAACCTCTTTTTTCTTCTTCACCTCCTTGACGACCTTCTTTTTGGGCTTTTGTGTTTTAGCATCAGCAAGCGCGTTGATAAAACTTGCAGGGGGGTGAGCTTGGAGCTTGAGGTTACCGTCCTCGCCGCGGACGATCCAGGGGATGAAGAACTGACCATTGGGAGGGGAGTCGGAATCGGAATCGAGAACGGCGTCAGATTTGAGGTTGGGTGGGGGTCTGGGTTTTGGTTTGGGGGTTGGAGAACCAAATTTGATGTTGAATTGTAAAGAAGAGGAGGTGATTGGAGGGAGGCGGGGGAAAGGAGTGGAGAAAAGTGACGGCTTGGCGAGGCCGAGGAGGGATAGAGTGGTGGAGACGTGGTGGAGGGATGACAGTGCCGCCATTTTCACTTGCTCGCAACGGACTATTGGCTAAGTTCACTGTGGATTTTATAATATATTTTTCTTCTGGATATTTTGTTTTTTAAAATAATAAATAAATAATTAAATTATGTATGTTTTAAGATTTTTATTTAGAGATACTATTCTTTTATTAATTAAATTCTTTTTAAAAGAAGTGAGTTTAATTAATTACTTAATGGTATTATTGACTCTGTTCATCGTTTAATTTTAACGAAATTAATTGATCGAATTAAAATTTAGTTGAATTAATCAATTGGTTAGTTAGATATCAAATCGATTAACAGTTAAGAAAATTTTCAAAATTTTGTTATCGGTTAATTTGGTTGAAACCGAAAAATGAGCCCCTAATTTTGAGTCAATAATAGGTTAAAAATAATTCAAAGTTTGATTATCTGTTAATTTGATTAGAAAATGATTAACCAACCAGATTAATTAAAAATATATTTTAAGCTTAAACCCATAAATTAAGATCCAACTATTTTCTAACCACAACCCATTAAACTTTCAGGATCTAATTAAATTTTAACCCACATAAAAAAATACATCTAGTGAACTCAAATAATCTAAATATTTTTTTTATTAATTTGGTCACCGATCGAAATAACTAAATTTTGTTTGATTTGATTAATAACGTTAAAAGAATACTTGGATCAGTTAATACGTAAACAAAAAAATCGATTAATTCAATTCAACTAGTAACCGAATTAACTGTTTGAACACATGTACGAGTAAAATTTCAAGAATGTTGCTGTAAAAGAATTTGCAGACTCAATATTACATCTCAAGCAATTCAAAGATCCCAAATAAATAGCCGCTTCTCTAACAACAAATCATCTTACAATAAACGTTAGCCAACCTTCATCCTAAATGGAATTTTACATATACCACAAACCCTAAACTTCATCAAACCTCATAATTATATAATCAGCAGCTAGTAATGGCCTTTCTGTTTAAATATATGGAGAGTTGCAGAAGAGCAAGGCGGATTCGAGTTCAAATTTCACCGCTCTTTCTAACATTCTGTTGATTATATCTCCAGTAAACCGTGTTCCATAAGATGCATGCCGTCCCTCCTATATCCATCGTGTACAAGCTGTTCGAAACACCGAATTATATTGCATGGATTTCACAAAGAACTCAAAGAAATCGAGTCTTCCTTCACGTCAAGTCGTTGGAGGAGTTCCAAGATGCTTCCGGCTTTTCTCTTTGCTCTGTCAGTGCCACTTTCCGACAAGTCCTTTAGTGCCTCCTCAGCACCGAATTCCTTGGCTATTTTTAATTGCTCTATATTACCAGTGCAAAGTGACCACAGTATGGCGGCGGCATTCTCCCGGTTACGTGGAGAACCAGTCCGTATGACTTCCAGTAAAACTGGAATCGGGTCGGCCTGACCAATGGCAACCTTCCCTTCTTGATGGCTCGCAAGAATTGCGAGAATTGCCAATGCTTCGTCCACCATCCCACCTCCAGCATCCTTCAGTAGTCTCATCAATGGTGGCACGATACCAGCTCTAACAGCCCTGGCCTTATTTCCCTGATAGATCGAGAGATTGAAAATGGCAGTTGCAGCATCTTTCTTTCCTCGCGGAGACCCTTCACAAAGAAGCTTTATAAGGGCGGGAACAGCACCAGCGGCACCGATGGATACCTTGTTCTCATCTATAACAGATAAACTGAAAAGGGTAGCGGCAGCATTTTCTCTAGCCTCCATGCTGCCGTTTTTCAACACATCAACTATATCGGGTATAGCTCCTGCATTAACAATGCTTCCCTTGTTGCTATCATTAATGGAAAGGTTGAGAAGAGCTGTCACGGCATGCTCCTGGGTTCGAGCATCTGTGGAGGACAATAATTCAACAAGAAGCGGTATGGCTCCTGCCTCAGCAATACACACCCTATTATCTGCATTTCTTTTTGCTAATAACCGGAGTTCGCCGGCAGCTGCTCTTTGTTGTTCTGAATTTCCATTTGCCAGTTTTTCCAATAAAGCAATGATAGCAGTACGGTCGCAGTCTGAGGCACTGCTTCCCGGTTTTCTGCTTCTACAAGTTCCTTGTTTCTTAGGAAGCTCTACGCCGTTGCTCTCGCACCACAAAGCTATAAGACTTTTTAAAACATAGTTTGGCGTAAGGGCAGTGTGCAATAGTGTCTGCTGTGTTTTCGGACACGTCTTGTGCCCTGCATCTAACCATTTCTGAATACAAGATCTTTCATATGTCTGCCAAAGAATGCAAAATAATTCAGAATACTGGAGGTGACAAGATTAGAATATCCAAGTTTTATTGCTTGATATAAAAGTTACAGATCCATTTTTCCGACTAACCTGCCCAGTGGAAACAATTACAGGGTCTTTCATCAACTCCAGTGATATCGGGCACCGGAAATCATCCGGGATAACAGGTGACCTGTGTTTTATCAAGCCTTTTTCACCCTCAGAGGTGTCAGCTTCAGGGTTTTCAGTCAGAACATAGTCTTTAAGCTTCTTGAGCAGCGATGCCATCTCCTCAAAGCGCTCCCCCGGATCTCCACCACTTGCAATAACCAGTTCGTGGAAAGCGACTGACTCTTTCATTAGATCATTGATTGTCCTTAGATGCAACTTATCTGAAAGTCTTTTGAGAACTGCAGGGTCAGGATCTTTTTCTTTCAGTGCTACTGCTAAATCGCGTTCTAGTTGCAAATCATGTGAGTCCGGTCTCGCTTTTGCTCGTCTGAATTGTGCATGAACAAGTTCAATCTGATAAGAAAGAGAATATGTCAGACAAGTCAACGAAGTCCGTTTATTATTAATCTATCATGTGAATTTGCTGAGTCTTCCCCTCTCTTTGTATGGCAAAGTTCACCCAGACAAATACTAAGAACAAGTCATATAAGTTTATCCTAAATGTGCATGGAACAATTCAAACAAAAAAAAAGACAAACAAACATTTCTAAATTCAGCCATGTTTCATGGAAAAGTACCTGCTCCTGGACTTCCTCCGATATATCGAGTTTGTCGTAGGGAATCTCATTCAAAGCCGCTTCAATGGCTTCCGTCATTTCTTGGAACTTATATGCTATCTGGTCTTGTTGAAGGGCCTGCAAAAAGTTAATGCAGAACTCATCTCAATGAACAATTACAACATAAATATAAAGGAATTTGTGAAAGATAACAATGTTAATTAGCAGCAACAATGATAGTTTAAAAGCACGAAAAGACCGAATTTTTTTCTACTGATCTTGAAGGAAAAAGATGAGAATACGGAACTTTATATTCAACTCCATTGTAAAAAGATGAGAATAAGGAAAAAGCACGAAAAGTTTATCCTTAATGAATTTGCCAATTGAGTAAAATGAGGATGATTTTCTTTTTATTCAACTCCATTGTAAACAGATTACTATCATACACAGCTCCCAACAAAGAGATACTCAGTAGGTTTGTGATAACAACATGGAACTTCCATTGATAAACTCAAGCAAATTCCCGAAATCAATAGTGTCGATTAAAAACTATAACTCCGTAAACACTTGAAATGCAGAAACTCATACAACAAAATCAACCAGCTTTTCAAATTTAACAATGTTCCATGGAAAACATGATCCATTGTAAACATATTACTATTATACACAGCTCCTAACGAAGAGATACTAAGTAGGGTTGTGATAACAATATGGAACTTCCATTGATAACCTCAAAAGCAAATTCCCGAAATCAATAGAGTCGATTAAAAATGATAACTCTGTAAACACTCGAAAGGCAGAAACTCATACAACAAAATCATCCAGCTTTTCAAATTTAACAGTGTCATGGAAAACATAAAATTCTCCATCCAGGACCTGATTCATCAATAGAACACAGACAAAGCATCAATGCCAATAACAAAAAATTCAAAGAACTACTCATTTTGAAAGAAAGAAAATATAAATATATGATGATAGAACTATATTTTGTAATTGATCTTTTAATTATCTCTATTGGTGTACAACATGTGAGATGGTCGTGATCAGATGAGTTGAAGATGATAGTAGGATAGTCGTTTGCGGTTCACTCCTTCTATGAGAGAAAGTTCTGTTATATACTATGTATCTTGTATGCCATGTGACGGAACCAGATACGAGAGAATTGATCCCCTTTGATTGGTACCGTTCGGATCATAATAGACCTATTTCATTAGTCTATTTGATCCTGAAACAGTGACTTCGGAGCGAAGGATATAACAATATTTTAATTGAGTGACCGAAGTAAATCATTTTAAGTTTGATAGTTCTTAGAAAAACAATGTGAAAAGTTCTAATATTCCATTTGAGATGATAATTCATAGCATACAAACCTGGGTATGTCTAAGGAAAAACAGATTAATTTTAACCATCTCACATCAGAACTTCCCTACAAACCTAAGTTAACAAGATTTTCTTTTTTTCCAAACACAATCAGTTTTACATGATTCAGGAAGCCAGCTTTATTTTTTTCCCACCTAACAATAAATTTTCTCAGCAACCAAACAAAAAATTCTGACTTTTCCCCCCTCCTTCAACAAACATCACATGCCTTCAAAAAAATAGACCCACAATTTACCCTTTTCTTTCCATTCAATTTTGTAACAACCAAACAGAGAATCAACAAGGAAAAAGAAAAAAGAAAATTACCTGATACAACTTGCTTCCTCCATTAATCGATTGAAGAAGCTCTTTAGTAGAATCCAAAGCAACCTTAAGTAGCTCAAACCCTTTGATATCTTCAATTTTCATCACCGACTCCTCATTTCCGTCTCTCAATTCTTCAAACAAAGGGCTCAACAACTTGATTCTACGAAACAAATTCCCATGCATTTTTTTACACGAGTTTCTACACTCTGGTAAACCAGATATCTCCTTCACTATCCTTTGTGGGAAATAACCCAGATTAGGGAATTCAGTTAAACGAAATGGGTAATTTTGGGTTTTTAGAAAGGGAAACCATGGAAGCTGGGGAAATTTAAGCTGGTTGTTCTTGTTTAGAACAAAGAAAG